TCATCCTTGCTGCATGTGTGCTCTTAACACGAGAGGCAGAAAATGACCTGCATTAGCAGAAAATGTTTATCATCAAAAGTCTCTGCCCATGGATTTTGTCAGGCCAGGAGTGCACTTAATTATCACAGCTCAGATGATGTCTGGAAGCTTATTAGCCAGGGTAACCCATTTCTGTATCAGGTCCCTCTGGTTAGCTGAAGTTTTCATTAGAATGGCAAACATTTTTGCCATTCTGAGGTTTTGGGATAAAGCAAGGAGTTAAATCCTGAAGAAGTGAACTTGCACAGGAAAGGAGCAAGAAGGGAAACAGCAGCAGAGAGAGCCCCAGGAGAAAGCATAGGTCAGAAATCTGCAGGAAAGAAACAGAGGCTCTGCTGTTACTCCCATGATTATAGAGAAATTCCCGGTGTTAAAATGTGGTCTAAAGACTAAAACTGAAACTTGGAACTGAATTTCCAAGAATTTGGATGGGCCTGAGAATCAGCAGGCTTGTTTGGTTTTAGCACATCAGAAAGAAGGGCAGGTGATTCAGTCAGCACTCTGTTTTGGATTATCTTAACCAACTTCTAAAGCTCCAAGGAAATTGCCACAGAGATGGATCAAATCAGGGAGCCAAAGAGTAGCTCTCAGCCCAAACTCAGCACAGCTTTCTCTCTCCACTGAAAATGCTAATGTGCCATTAGTCAGCCTACACCTGTGGTCAGATTACACCAACAGGAACGACAGAGTTCACTGTGGCAGTCTTGTAGAATAGCATCAGATCCAACAGACGTCTATGAAGTCAGACACGACCATGCTTATGCTGTCCCCAGGACCTAGAGCAGCTCAGTTACCTCAGTGCAGCACAGTGCCAGGGATGCAGTGAGCATGCCAGAGCCAGCTGGAGCACCTGTGAGGTGCTGTGAGGAGCATGGAACATCCATACGTGGGCAGACCAGGTGCTGGGCTTGGCAATACCAAGCACTGAGCCAAGCTATCCCCCGCAGAGGTGTTCGTGTGTTGCGAGTCAGGCTTGCCAGCATGCCTGGAGAGCTCAGCAGGTCAGATGATGTATCACATGAAGATTAAGACTTAAGCTAATGACATGTTCATCCCAGCTTCCCCTCTCTTTTCTTTTCAACAATGTATTTCCTCCTTTGCTGCCTCCGCATCAGAGAATTTGTCCTTTTATCGCCCCTGCCCAAACAGAGCATCCCCCCACACACTCCTTATTCATCATCTCACCACAACTACTCATCAAGCTGTGCATCAAGGAAACACGTCAGGGCGTGTGAAAACCAAGCTCTTCCAAAACATTCTTCTCATACAGGAATTGGAAGGATTTCCTCCCCTCCTCCAAGCCTTATAAGGGATGCGGCAACCCCCACAATCCAGACTAACAGTATAGTTACTCCCTTACATAAACCTTATCACCAAACACTTGGCTGGAGAAAAGGATGGCTACTGACCACAGCAAACCTGATCATCTCTGAGTCACCCTACTGGGCTGTAAAGATTAGTACATAGTCCTGAAAGCCAGAAAGTTGGGAGATTTCTTCTGTGCAGCAAATGCAGATCTCAACTCTGAACAGATTGTCAATCATTCAAATTGCCCTTCTAGCACTCCCACCACTGGCTGGGCAGTGGGGAAAACAAGCATTTTGCTAAGCATCTGCCTCCAGTTTCATAGACTAATTTGGGTTTTTTTAAAAAGAAACTTCAGATAACGAAAGAAAAAAATTCTGAACTAAGTATGGCCTATCAGCAAAAGACTGAGGGGACTTACAACAGTATAGATATTTTTAGGAATCTGGGGGGGGGGGGGGGGGGGGTGGTTGTTGTTGGTTTGTTGGGGGTTTGTTAGTTCAAGATGAAGATTGGAAAAGGAAGGAAAGAAAGCTCTGATGGATTTGGCTCCAGCAGTCAAAGAATACAATTTCTCGAGTCAAGCACTTTAGAAACTCTGCTTTCCTTTTACACAAAATGATGAAGGACTGTTACCAGCTGTGCTGCAATATATCTTCAGGTTTTATTATTCTGAATTTCATTTTTTAATGGATTTTACCAGAACCAATACTATTCTTGCCAGCTTTAATGGTACCAAGGACAGACTGCTGAATGGGGGGCAGCAGTTTCTTTTTCAGGCACTAGCTATAGTTCACCCTCTAATTTCCCTACTTTCCTTCACCTTTTCTTCTGTACAGACTTTTGTTTCTGAATAGATATGAACATGAGCAATTTGACAATTCACTTTCCACAAGTTAATTTCATGGCACTTAGCAGACAAAGTGAAGCAACTTGAATGCAAGCTTATTATTATAAGCAGTTTCGAGCACTTGTCATCCTGGTGACTTTTTTCCATGGCCTGAACCCACATTCTATATATAATTGGAGGGGGATGTGCAAAGTGTGATTTCAATTTTGCATTTGAACAAGTATTTTTAACTTAATTAGGGCCCTTTTATTATCACTTCTCAGCCTCAACATATTACATAAGGGCTTTTCCAAAGCAAAACTATCTTCTAACACCAGCTCTCAACCTTGTACTTTTCAATAGTCAAGTTTGAATAATGACTAGTGGATGAGACTGCAACATGCCACATCCCTCATGTACTTCATGAGTCCAGTCTACATGAAAGGTCCCCTGATCCTATCCATCCTAAGATGCTTCTAAGGTGTTTTCCCACTCCCAATTGCTCTCACAGCCTGAGACTGAGAGTTTTCATGGAAATAACTCACACAGAGCCTTCAAAAGAGACTCCAGCTCCTGCTTTACTGGCAACAAAACCATATCCTGGCTGTTTCCAAAAAATAGCAAGCATCACAGACGTTGAAATAGAGACACTCCTTGGCACAGAGATATCCTGCTTGGGTGCCTCATGTTCCTTCTGCTATGCATATTCCAGAAAGCATTTTGTTAGTGCTAGTCTGCACTTTTTTTTTCCTGAAAGTCATTTCAGCTCTCCAACTGCTCTGGTTATCCCAGAGCCTGAAAACCTGGACCATTCTGAGGGTGTCCCAGTTTAGTTTTAAAGATTATATTCAAAAGGATTGGTGGCTGAAATGCTGAGTCAGCTTTATCACTGCTAAAACGATATTTTAATCTGATACCTTTCTTGAAATAAAACTTTAGATAACAGAACAAAGTAATAATAAATTAAGTAATTTTTTTTAAAGAATAAAGATCTCTACTTGTCTGCTTCAGTAGTTCAGATACAATCTACCACTTTAATCTGGGTTAAGGGAAATTGCACATTAAGTGGCTTCATCCCATTCAAACTGACAGCTAGCATCCTCCTCCTGAAGGGACAGATGCAAATCTGTCTAGTTCACATCTTTTTTTGAGCATTTGTTTCCTACTCATATTACATGTTTTTTCTTTGAACCTGCCTTTCCCTCATCCCTCTTTGTCATTAACTACACAATAATGTAGACTTCAATTTGTACACTCAAGATTTAGGAACTAATTATTTGCTAGAACTTTGTGAAGACAGAGAGAATCATTTGTATCACATAGAAAAAAAATATTACACAAGTCATTGCAGTAGATGTACAACAGTTTTCTCTCTGCAAGCATCATGTGAGGTGGAAAAGGGAACAGAGCTTAAAATTCATGTTCCCTGAAAGCTTACTTAGTTTTAGGGGGTTCCCATCATCTGGCCAGAATTTGTGTGACTATATTTGCCCTGGCCTTAAATTCTGCAGGGAGCTCTGGCTAACCAATTAATCAATTATTCACCTAACCTATAGCAAGGTGTTTGTATCCCAGACCAAATCTGGGCAAAGACAGTTATGCCAATGGGAAAACTCTCACTCTCTGTTCTGCCCCCACTCCAAAAAAACTAACAACGAAAAACCTCAACAGCAAAAGAACTGTACATAGCACAAATATGTAAGCGGACTAGGGCTGCTCTCACTGTGGGTATACGGCACTGTGAGGGCAGACAAGACAGAAGGTCTTTCATATTTGGAAGTGGCAAAAAATAAACAGACTGTGACTAAGGAATTGTTGTTTGCTCTCCTGAAAGTCAGTCATTAAAATGTTGATGGGTTTCAAAGGGACTCAGCTCCTAATAGTTCCTGTATCATTACTACCTAGCAGGCAAGCATTCATGGATTACAAAGGAAAGATGCTGATTGCTACTGCCATCATCTGCCTGCCACCTCCTTCACAGCATGGCTCCACCTTCTTCATCCAGAAAGAAGGGAAAGGAAACTGAAACAGACTGCAGTTTCCATCAGCTGCACTTTGAAAGCTGAGAGAAAAAGAAGCAAGCTAAGCAAAATCAGCACATAATAATAATAATAATAATAGCATTACATTCACTGTTACTAATAGGTCAAAAAATAGGTCACCTTTGGGGGAAAAGACTAAATAATTAGCTTTGGTCAACTAAACATGTTTGTATCAAACACATGCATCAAATATACACACACTATTTTCAGTTTCTATTCTGTATTATATTGGCAAGTCACAGCTTACATGAGCTATGCCAGCATTGTCACTGGAAAACCAGAGATGGACTGAGCATAGATTCCAGTAAAGCACAAAATGAAACTGGGAGCTGAAGCTTTGGGTTTCCTTTTGTCAGCATTAAGTTGCTGGAAGCTGTTCTGTGTCCTTGATCAGTGCTGAAATGCAGCCTATATCCATCTCTTAAGACAAGGAAGCATTTCCAGAATGAAATATTAGAAGATGGAGAAAACAGGGAGCTAGATCTGGATTTGAAATTTCATTTGGAAAAAAATGTCAAGAAAGAGACATCGTGTACACCAATATACAATGGATATGACTAGCCACTGCTTTCTCACAGAGTGTAAACCATGCTATCAGGAAGCCTGCCAGGAGAACTTGGGTCCCATATAGTCAAGAAGATGACAACAGGCTGCTTGTGCACTCAGCCCCATTCACAGGCTCTCTATAAAGTATTTCCACCCTTAAGGGTGTGCACCTTGAGTAAGCTGGAGAACAGGCAACTAATGCACATAACATCATCTTAGTCAGGCTTCTTGTTACTTACTGTTGCTCTTGTTGTTGGTAGACTGACGCTTGGCTGCTATGCTCCTCTTCAGATGTTGTAAGCTTCTGGGTGTTTTCATCCTTCTCTGTTTTGTTCTTGCCATCCCAGGAGTAATCCTGAGAGGAAAATGGAGTACTGGAGGCAGCAGCTGTCCTGTACCTGCTGTCTTCCCTCCATCCTCTAATCCCAGACATTGCTTCAGAAGTACCTTGCCTTGACTGAAACTAGTGTTTCTGCTATGTCTAGGGAAAGCTCAAAACTTTGGAGTTATCACAAATTGGTTTCAGTTCCTCATAAGCCACACCCCTGTCTAGACTTTCAGCTGTTAGGCAAATACTTGCACTAGTTTCCAAGTCATCCTCCAGCTGAAGTTCAAGGTTGATCATTTCAATCACAGCACCCAGGCAGACAGGGGTCACGGGGTGACAGCAAAGCTGATCTGTACTAATAAACCAGACAACAACATTTTGTGCAGCTTTGGAATAGACTGTTTCAGCAGAAGCATGGTGAGGTCTGGCTGAAAGGTATAATTCTGGCAATCTTTTACCCCAGCATTTCAGATTTGCCTGTGACAGAGGGAATAACTCTCAGGGGTTTACTAGTTTCTGTTTTGCATGAGTGTACAAAGAAAGATGAAAGTGAAACTAAATACTAGTCTTGAGAAAAACCCTAAGGCAATGGTTCCGCACAACCCCAATTCTGCCTTTCAGTTCTGCTCAATCAGAAAATTTTAATTTGACTTTCCTAACGCTACTTGAACAGAGGACAAATACATGATCTACTTACCGAAAATGCAGATCTCTTCAATGATCACATCTGACCAGTGGTATTATATCTATGGGATCTGCAGGGCTGGGGATAACCAGCAACCTTCTTATCATAAGCAAAATAAAGATATTTGGCAACTTCTAACCCAAGCAAGAAAGAATATAGTAATGCTGCTCCAGCTTAATGCAGCAGAGATAGGGAAATCCAGATCCATGCATGCAGATCTTGTCACTTTTTGTCCTCAGCTGATCAAGCTGCACTAAAAACACACTGGTGAAGGGATGATTTTGTGGCCAGGCTTCCTGACTGCCCAAATCATCTAGGTCTTAGAGCACACCCCACATATGCTAGGAAAGGAGCAAAATAAAATGCCACAAGCAAAGCCACAGGCTGCCTAGTGGTTGTAATGCTCCTTGGAGTACTGTATGGGACTCTGTCACCAGCAGCACACCTCCCAGAGTTGCCACATCCAGCAGGGCTGCCTGATGAAGGCAGCATCAATGGTCTCTCCCTCCCACCATAACATGCTCTGCAACAGGGATGATCTTCATTTGTACACAAATCATTCTGCAGAGACTCTGGAGTGCAATGGCAGTGTTTTGAAAAGGGATGAACAGGTGCATAGTCCCTCGCACCACTTCTCTTCACAAAGACTTGCATATATATTTCATGTACAAGGTGCTAGCAAATGAAAGCAAGCATCAAGCTTGTTTCCTTACACAGAGCTGCAGGGTCAATACTGGAGGTGCAGAGGCACTAGAAGCAACACAAACATTATAGCAAAGTCATGTCTGAGGACTGCAAAGATTTGTGGGATAACAGCTGTGCCTACAGACACCCTATCTGGTAAAAATCCAGGTTCGGCATCTGGAGACTTCTTATCCATGCAGATTGATGTCTTAATAGCCCAACATTTAATTACAAAAATTGATCATAATTAATGTGGTCACTGCTGCTGTATCTTCAATACTACTATGTTACATAAAATTCAGATCTAATATCTTTTTTTCTGTTGAAATTTAGAAATTTTTGGCTGAAAAGAGTAGTTGCAGAATCTAAATACATCTATATCAGTCAAAAAAAGAAGGATGTAAAATGAACACAAGCACTAGAAGCTCAATCGCTTATATTGCTTCAATGCTCATTTATTTCATAGTTCTCTTGGGGACAACCAAAACTAACTCTCTCTGTGAGGCAACGTCCAGGCCTGGCTCTAAGGATGGTTCATGCCAGGAATGATCCTGTCCCAATCTGATAAGACATGGGAGGCTTCAATCAATTTCCCCAGTGTGAACCCAGAGACAAATGAGATCAAATACTGTCAGTGAGAGAGACTCACCATTAGTCACATAAAGGGGTGGGTGGGGGGAAAGGGTGATAGGAGAGCTAGAAATAGGAAAGGGGGAAGTGAGTGAGATTTATGATGCAAAAGCAGAGATAGTCACCACCATGGAACCAGCATGATGACCTGTAGTCATTTTTTCTTCAGTGGTGGGTGCACTCACATATGTGTGCACACACATACACACACACACTCTGGACACTGGTCCTTTTTATTGTGGCTCTGCCAGGGCACTGACTGGTCAGGTCCTCTTGCGTAGCTGGGTTAGTACATAGTGATTCCCAGCACAGACACCTCACAAATGTCCTTGGAATGTTGCAGTCTGACGGCAGCTACAGATTTACAGTGGGCAGTGGAGTCCCATTATCCCAGCTAGAGATTTGCAGTCAACAGTAGAATTCCGTTATCTCCCGGGAAAGTTGCTGCAGTTAGAAGTTTATGGTGGCTTGTTACTTTCTGTGTTTTCAGTCCAGCTATAGCTATAGATATCCTGTAGCTCAGTAAGCTTTGAGGCAAACAACCAGACTTCTGCCACACAACAAGTTGTCAAGGCCAGGCAATGTCAAAACCAGCATTTCTTAAAGGTCCCTTACAGACCCTCAGAAAGTCAATATTAATGACTGTACCAAATTTAACTTTCTCCACATCAAACATCTCTCCAGCACTGTCCCAGCAATCTCTGCATCTCAAATGCATTTCATGTGCCTCTGTGTCCACCGTGTATCCTTCATCAGTACTACATTTTCATGCTACTAAAACATATTTCATGGCTGAAACCCATCCCTCATACTGCTTCAGACAAATTGACCTGAAATATCCCCCAAATTAATTAAGTTTTAGAGTCACAGCAGTACACCTGGGTCTCTCAGGACACTGGAGTTTCAGTAGTAGGACATGCATATTGCCTCCACTAGGCAACAGTCCTACTTAGGAACTCCTAGCCTAGTGGAGGCTAGTCTTAGGCAGCATATATATAAGTAAGTCTCTGCTAGACGGATTTAGGAAAAACGATCAGTCTCCAGTCTTATTTTACTTAGTGTTGTAGATGCTAAACGGATGCTAAAGCATCAGAATGACAATGTGTTCAGCCTCCTGAAACATGCAAACCCCACCAAATCTCAGCTCTTCCCAAATTCTCCATAAGAATTTTAATTCAGTACTCATGTTTTTCTAAATCCTGACAACCTATTCTATCTGATGTTTTATGTCTATAGTTGTCTTACATCCCTAACTGTGTCTGATGCTGTGATGTATTGGCCCTTGCTAGCAAGCGAGCGCCAATACAGCTGGTGACTCCCTCCCTCCCCATCAGTGGGACAGGGGAGAAAACAGGAAAAAGAGTGAGAAAATTCATTTGTCAAAATAAGGGAGTTTTGTCTGCAAATCTCTGTTGCCTTCAGCTATTAACAACAATTTTTTCTTTTATTTTGTGGGAGATAGAAAGATAGAAAATGAGTTCTTTTGCTTTGAGAAAATCCATCAGTGGACATGCAAAATAATAAGAATTGACATATTCATTCCCTCACCTGTGATTTTCATGAAATTGGAATAATAAACCAAAATAATTTATGTAGAGGAACATTCTGTACTGAACTTTTATTTCCAACTCGGCAGCACCATGAACTGTACCACAAATGAGTGATATCAGAGATCCTTTCTCACTATAAAGAATACTCAGAATCTCAGTCAGCCACCTCATCATTTCTTTGGAACATCAGATAGGATAAAATTCTCTTCTATGAAAGAAGTAGTATTAAAACCGCATAAAATTTAAAAAATGTAACATCCCCTACCTTTCATTCTCTGAAAACACCTATTCATTCTTCATTATTTCACTGCTGGCTTATGGATTTTAAGGTGCTGCATGTTTAAGGTTTTTTTCCACAACCACAGATGCATTTCATTAAAAGCTAAGATTTTTATTTAACAAAAGGAGACTAGAGGCCTAAAGCCTAAAGCAAAACATCAAACTGCAGGAGCCTTTGGAAAAGACATCCAGGACAGGCAAGCTTTCCTACAGCTCACTCTCTATTTTTCCCAGGATCCAGCAAATGGTAACAGAAGGCCTTGATGGCTGGAGAACTGCTTTTTCCTTTGCCATCAGTACTAAAATACTTAGTCCAACAGCTGAATATGATGCTCAAGGGTTCACAGACAAAGCTTTTTTTTTCTGGATATTTTGGCTAAGACACAGAGCTGAATATACTACAGAGCATATGCATGTAACTGATCATTGGGAACATATCCCTGTGTTTTAGGGCAATGAAAAATGATGGCAAATATACCTAAAGGCATATCTATTATTAGCACTGCATATAGAGTTTTTATAGCATGATGGCAAATTAAAACTTGAATTTTTAGAAATGCATTTTACTTTACCAGTGTTTTTGTGGCTGAGTACTCTACCTTGATGGACAATTAGTTGTGAACAGAAAACCTTAAACTGGACAAGAATGGCTCAGCTTGACTTTTAAAATACCTGATCTGAGACATGCTTATGGCAAGGAAAATATCTGAGTTCACTGCAGGCCAAAACCACAAAACATTAATATGAATGAAAGCTGTAGTATCACTTTTAGTTTTGTGCACTTGACAGAAAATGTTTTAAGAGCAAGATTGCTGCACTGTGAAGACACTGTGTTCTGCAGGGTTGATCGCACTAATTGTTACAGCTCAGGATGCTGGAGAAGAGAAATTTCTCTGCTCCCTGGAGAGGTAGCCCCACAAAGGAAGGTAAAATGTCAACAATTGGCCAAGATTTATTCTTGTTTAGATTTAGGAATTTGTCAGGTTTTCAGCAGAAAGAATGCCATTAGCTTTGACAAGTGCGTGTGAGTGTGTGTGTTGGGTAATCTATTCAGGAGATGTAAAATGCTGCACACACTTCCCATTTTATTGCAAAAAGCTGAAATTGATGGCACCTGTCAAAAACTATCATCTTCCACTCTCTAAAAGAAAACTGACCTTTGCTTTCTCTACAGTATCCCTCAGCACTACAGCAGGTCCACCTCTCCTTTAGCTAATACTACTTCAGCAAATTCAAGAGGAGATTGAAAATATAATTGACCTAATGTCCAGAACTTG